CATTCTGCTCTGCTCTGCCTTCTGCAGTTCCACACAGGCCAATGGGGGCGCCTGCTACGACAGTGATTTGCTGGGCTGGAGCGACAGCATAGTGCAGCGGGGCGGGCGTTTGCCTTGCATGCCCCCAACCTGGGTTCGATCCCCAGCATTGCATAGGGCTCCCCCAAGCATGCCAGGAGCGATTCCTGAGTGCAGAGCCAGGAGCCTCGCTGGGGGTGACTCAAAAAGCAGAAAACAAAATAAAGAAGTAAATAAATACATTTTTTAAAAAGTGATTTGCTTGGGAAGGGGTCTGTGAGGATAAATACCCCCCACATGCAGCACAACCCTGGGGCTCCTGGCTCAGGGGGCCCGGAGCAGGCGTGGCCACACTGGCGGGGGCACAGCAAGGCTGCCCGTGGCTCTCTGTGGACTCAGCCACTTTCCGTCCTTCCTCACTCTTGTGAGCTGTCCGAGCATTTTCCCGGCTCTGCTTTGCGGTGAGGGGGAGCGTGTCCTCACGCAGGGAGCTGGCCACTCAGCCTTCCCAGCGGATCTGGCGGCTCTGTGGATGGGAAAGATTTCCACAGGGTCACGCCTCAAAGGCCGTGGACGATGCCATGATTCTCTGCAAACCCAGGGCCCCTGAGCCCGTCCGCTGTGGGAGGCAGAATCCTCATAGAGGCCAAAGCTTCTCTGTGGAGGCCGGTCTCAGATCTCCTGCACCCCTCTTAGCAGCGGAGGGGGGGGAGCTCGCCCCTCCGAGTGGCCTTGACCGAAGGCTCATCCTGCAGCCAGCTGCCTGGGCTGCCCTGGCCCCTTCCTTCAGGCACCAGTGCCCAGGCTTACTGGGCCTCTTACCCTCTCTCCAGGAAGAAAAGGAAATCACTCCTTGCCAGAGACTTAGGGCAGGGCACTTGCCTTGCATTCAAGCCCAGCGCTGTGCCCATCCCCTGAGCATTGCCAAGGGTCTCTGCTGAGCTCAGAAGCAGGAACCTCCTCTGAACACCAGAGGATGATGCCTTCTCCCCCCCCCAAATCACTTAGTGACCCCTAAAATCTACCATAAATGAGCGCCCTCAAGGGTATCACGGTAGCTTCTGCCCCCATGGACTGTTCCCACAATACCCAGGCATTGCCCACTTTCACAAAGACTTGTTCCAGAGCATCCCTGTGCCTGAAGGGCCTGGGTACCCCCCCCCCCCCCGCCCCGACCCACTGTTACTCGCTGGCAGCCCCTGTACAGGGTGGAGGATGGACTCGGCTCCGCCGGGAGCCTCCAATTGTTGCTGTTGGGGAAACCCCCTCCCCCAAAGTGAATTCTGAAATCTCAACCAGAGCTCTGTGGGTTGTGGGGCTTGCCCTGGTATCTGCCGCATGATGGTAGTTTTGACAAAACACTTCTGAATAAGAAATAGATCCCAGCCCCTTCCCCGGCCCCCTCCCGCCAGACTCCAGCAGGAAACAGGACCCATTGTGTTGTTTCGTGAAGATTCGGAAGGCTGACGCTCCTGGCACTGGGGGACTTCGCAGGTTGGCCTCACACGCTTCTATTTTTACTCTAGTCTAAACTGCGGTCCTAGGGAGAGCAAAATAAATACTGGAATATTCGGGGCCAGGAGGTGGGGGAGCAGGGAGGCTTAGAATAACATGACTGTAGACAGTTTGCCGTCACTTGGATATTCCATAAAGGGGCCAGCCTAGCCTGGAGCACATGTGTAAGCCGTGGAAAGTACCCATGCCGGCCACAGACCCCCTCAGAAAGTCATCCTACACTGGGGTTTGGATCAGGATCGGTGATACCTGGGCCGAGGGGCCTGCTTGCCCCCGATGGACCCTGTTGTGTCAGACCATTCGCCTGTTTCCTGCTGACATCCAAACGGGGAGAGTGTTCCCAGGTGAGGTCTGGGAGCGTGTGGTCACTGGTCATTACAGTTTCTCCTTCCTGCTGGTGTCCACTCGGGTGACTTAAGGAAGTCTCCACAGTCACCCGAGTGGACACCATCAGTGACTCCTTACCCCTGGGAGCACCCACAAGAGAGCCCACGTCCCAGGCCCGCAGGACACGGGGGGTGTTTAGATAGCCTTCCCCTCGTCAGATACCGGGTTTTTCCAGAAAGACCTTGAATTTCAAATTAAGGTTTCCATGTCGGACATTTGTGCAGTGCCGATGTCACCCGCCGGAGAGAAGTCCCGCCTTTGGGGCTGCTTGACCACGGGTGTCTCTGCCCAAGAAAACAGCCTGACTTGTGCTTCGTTTTCCAAAACATGGTTCGGGCCACTTCATGGCCAAAAGCCCCGAATCAGCGTCTCCTGTGTGGGTTTGATTACAAACTCCCTGTCCGGGTGGGCTCACGGTGTCCCCCAAAGCGGGTGATATGTTCCCTGGGGTGGGCATTGGAACAACGCCGGTTGGGGGGCAGTGGCGTTGGTGCCACTGGGGGTGCTTTCTGTTAGCCTAAAGAACAGATTTCCACGAGTGGCCTGTTCTCTCAGAAGGGGCAGTAGGTCAGCAAGGCTCGGGCGCCTCTGCCCTCAGCATCATCCGCCTCTTCATCATTGAAGTGTGTTTCCTTCCGGAGTCAGCTGCACTGCACTGTCGACACACCTGTCTCTCCACCAGGCACAGGAAGCCATAAAAACCCTTTTAGGGGTGAGGCAAGGCATTTCATGCGTGGAGCCCCTGTTGGCAGAGGTGGCTTCATGGAAAGACAGTAGCCATGAAGTCTCAGAGCGTTCCCGCTGCGCCTGCTAAGGGGCCGGACAGTGGTTAAACTGGGCCCTTTGGCGGGGGGTAGTTTGGGCCACACCCCATGGTACTCAGCGGTGGTTGGGGGTGGGGCATGAGGTGCTGGGGTTCCTGAGGGTTGCCCATGGACCAGGTGAGCCCTCTGCCCTGTGCAGTCTCTCTGTCCCCTGGGAGGCCCTTGCTGTGTGTCCTCACACCTAAGACTGTCAGGGAATCTGGTGTGACCGTGTCGCCTCATGGGGACCAGGTCCAGTGAGCTGTCCTCAGGCCTGGAGCTTGCAAGTCGGGCCCTTGGGCAGCGTGGTCAGGACTGGAGATGTCCAGAAACGTTTCGTGGCCCACCACCTGCAGTTGTGACGTGTGTGGGTTCAAACACCCAAGTGGCTTCCAGAACCCAGACTGGAGCTGCCAGGGCATGGCGGATCTCTGGGCGCCTTCGTGGGACCCAGCCTCTGTGGCCTGTGGCGGTGCCAAGAGGGATACCTTGTCCCTCATGAGAGCTGGGGCAGGGAGGTGCTCTCTTCGTGGGAGGGGAAAGCTCTGTAGCCGTTGGGATCGTGAAACCAGGGTCCAACCCCCCATCACGCGGCCAGGCTGGGGGCGTCCACTCAGGCACCCCCGTCTCAGGAGATACAGCTCGGAGGAGCATGGTTCTGTGCTGTTCGGTCCAAAATGTGGACATCAGGTGCGTCCACGGGAGGCAGATGGCTTGGAGAGAGGGTGTTGGAGGCTGGGCGTCCAGCATGGGTGGACTCAGAACTGTTCTCTCGCGGGCAGCCTACCTGTTCCCATGAGACAGCTCGGGGTCACGTGCTGGGAAGGCCGGGGGTCAGGGGAGGGAGGATGCAGTGGGGAGTCTAGCCGGGGTCTGCGGATGGGAGTGCTACTGGCCACTGACCAGGAAAGGGGGACACCTGAGACGGTGGCAGGCAGGTGGCCACAGGGGCAGCGGCCGTCTCCAGCCCTCTCCTGGGCAGTCACTCTGCCATAGATCCAACCGGTCATCTTGGACCATAACTTGATCACTAGACCTTAGTCACTGCAGACTGTAGTTTGGCCACTTTGGACGGCCCCCTGCTGCCAGCCCCCCAGGTTCCCGGGCCCAGACCAGGACCGGGGGTCCCCATGGCTGAAGGGTGGAAGCCAGTGACTAGAGCTCAGATGAGGGCTGTGGTGGGATTGGGGAGGGGGGAGCCCTGGCCACCCCAGCCTGCCTGCCTGCCCCTGGGTGTGTGTAGCAGAAACGTGACCAGCGGGGCTGTGAGGGCGATGACTTCTCTGAGTCCTTCTCGATCTTTCAGCATCAGGATTTTCACGGGAGCCAAGATGAGGCCTGTCTGCTGTCTGCACGTGTGTACATTTGTATGCAGTACACGTGTGTACAGTACAAGTGTGTGCCCGTGCCTGTGTGTTCGTACATGTGTGCATCTGTGTACATGTGTGCTCATGCCTCTAACACGTGTGTTTGAGTTATTGTTGACTATATTTCGGGAGGCGATAAAATACCAACGGACTGAAACCAGGGGAGGGAAAAGCAAAAACCCAAACCCCTCCCCGTGCCCTCTGCCTCCGGCCCCCACAAGGTGCGCTCTTGGCCCTACCAGACCGAGTCTTGATTCTCAGTCTCTTGTTTGCAGTGGCCAGGTACAGGGAAACTGGTGAGCGTCCCCAGGGCACGCAGCCAGGTGCCTGGGACACGCATCGGGGCAGCTGGCATTGAGCCTGGGAGCCCAGGCCCGGGACAGGTTTTGGCCCCTGTGTGCTTCTCTGGCTGGTGACACCCCTGGCATCTGCCTGCGTCTGGGTTGGGGGTGGGGAATGCCCCGACTGTCCTGGTGAGTGAGCGGAGTGTGCTGACTCAGTTGCAGTGCTCAGAGCACAGCCCAAAAGCCGCTGGGGGGTCATGCCAGAGCCCGGGTGGGGATATAGCTAAGCACTGAGCCCTCCCCATCCCATCCCTCCCAAGGAAGCGTGAGGAGCACCAAGACCTTTTCCAGGAAAGAACCGACCAGTTTGCCTGGCAGACAGCAGCGTGACTGTCTGGTGACGCTGGGCAGGCGATGTGGGGGTGGCGGAGAGAGCCCGTGGGGTCTCTGCACTGTCTGCCTAGGGGGACCCCTGCTTCCCGGGGGCGTTCGCCTGGAGTCAGCCCTGGCACTGAGACAGGTTGCCAGGGGACCCTGAGCGAGGGCTAGAGATGGGGGCTCCAGAGGGGAGGAAGTGGGAGGTCAGACCCTGATCTCACCTGGACCTCTCTTCTCTGTGTCTGCAGAGGGCAGAGCTGACGTCTGATAAGGACATGTACCTGGACAACAGCTCCATTGAAGAAGCTTCTGGAGTGTATCCCATCGACGATGACGACTATGCTTCTGCCTCCGGCTCGGGTAAGGCTGAGTGCCCCGTGAAAAGGCACGGCACACGTGACACACGTGACACGGCACACACAGAGGCACATGGACACAAACACGCGTGTTAGAGGCATGAGCACACACGTACACAGGCATGGGCACACATGTACACAGATGCACACGTGTATGTACGTACACACGGACACGGGCACACACATGCACCGCACACACATGTTCAGAGATACTGGGCACGCATGTACACAGGCACACCGAGGGGAATGAGGGCATACCCGTGTACATATGTGCACGTACACACACAGGTACAAACGCATGTACACAGGCATCGATACACACGTCTACGCATGTTCACAGACACACAGTGAACACATGTACCCAGGCATGGACACACACTTACACATGGTACACAGAAGGCCAACATGCACACAGGAACACATGCAGGTACGTGTGTATGCTACACACGCGCAAACACAGCACACGTGCACACATGTCTGCGTGCATATGTGTATATGTGGGGGTATATGGAGCGATAGCACAGCGGTAGGGCATTTGCCTAGAACGCAGCCAACACGGCCGACCCGAGTTCGATTCCTCCGCCCCTCTCGGAGAGCCTGGCAAGCTGCCGAGAGTATCTCGCCCGCATGGCAGAGCCTGGCAAGCCACCCATGATGTAATTCGATATGCCAAACACAGTAACAACAAATTAAATATAAATATATAAAATTATAAATAATATAATAATTATACTTTATTATTGCAAATGGACTGGAGCGATAGCACAGCGGTAGGGCGTTTGCCTTGCACGCAGCCAACATGGCTGACCCGAGTTCGATTCCTGCGCCCCTCTCAGAGAGCCCGGCAAGCTACCGAGAGGATCTCGCCCGCACGGCAGAGCCTGGCAAGCTCCCCGTGACGTATTCGATATGCCAGACACAGTAACAACAAGTCTCATGATGGAGACGTTACTGGGCCCGCTCGAGCAAATCGATGATCAACGAGAGGACTGTGAGTGTGACTGTGACCCCCACATAGATGCACGTTCTACTAGGACAGAGCTTCCTGCCTTTTCAGGAAAAAAAAATCCCTCAGCACCTCCTGTATATCCGCCTTCTCTCAGCAAATAGCCCCTGGGTGCCTCTCTGGCTGCCGCCCCTACCCAGCACTCCCGGAGTGGTACTCGGGCAGCTCCTTCTAGAAGCTCCTTCCATTCAGGCAGCTGGCTGAGCACCTGCTCCTTGGAGACAGGGACCTCTAGGATCCCACCCAGATCCGGCGTCTTGGGCAGAGCCTCTCCCATTTCCTGGCGGAGCACAGGCAAGGAAGGTCCCTGCGGGGTGGGGGGTGGGGGTGGGAGTGATTCTCATTGCTTGGTGTTGGCTGGCCTCAGTACAGTGTGCAGTTCCTCCGTGGCTCTGATGCAGACACAGTTCTCGTGCTTTCCAGGCACCTGAGAAGTTCATCCCCCAGCCCACGTTGCTGTGAATAGCTCCCACCCCTGGCACTGCCATTTCTTTTCCTTTCGCTCCTGGAAAGTGCTTGGTTAACCACCATCCTCAGGCCTGCCCAGGAAACAATGCAGGTGGTTTTCTACAAGCTTGTCACAGAACTGCACGTCCAGGGGATGGGAGGGGGTGGAGAGAGGCTCTGGGACGTTTTATGCCATAACCACCCCCCTGTCCAGGTCAGAGACATTTGAGGCCATTTAAAAACCCATGACCCAGGGCCGGAGCCTGCGCACAGCAGGGAGGGCACTTGCCTTGCACGTGGCTGACCCAGCTTTGATTCTGGCACTGCACCGGGTCTCAGAAGCCCAGCAGGAGCCATTTCTGAGTGCAGAGCCTGGCAGAAGCTTGAGCATCACTCACTGTACCCACCCCCCAGGAGAATGAAATCCAGCACATACTTAGGGACCTATTGATGATGGAACGGGTCTTCTCTGACTTTTTTTCCAGTTTTTTTTTCAGCCACACCCAGTGGTGCCAGAGGGTGGTGACCTGTCCCTTACAGATAGACTCTGTCCCCAGGGGCCCAGACCCTCTGTCCCCAGGGGACCCATCTGTACACCCTCCAGGAGCTTGCCCAGGTGGGGCATCCAGTCCGAGGGCCTGGGGGCATCACACTTCAATAGCTGTTGAAACAGACTTCTCCTTATGGGGATAAATGCAGTGAGGACAGGTGAGAGGGGAAGAAGCCACTTGGGAAAGTGGGTCTGCTGTGGAGAGAGGACCTTGGTGCTGAGGTCGGGTGGCAGAGAAGGAAGCAACGATGCCCTGGCAGGTCAGGGGCCATGGCTAGAGCGGAGGGGACCACGTGGAAATGCTGTTTTGGGACGCTGGGCAGGCCAAGGGCTGAGCTGAATCGTAGACCTGGGAGTACCGCTGTGATGCTATTAGGCAGGGGGAGGGTGGGGGTCTCTTCTGTCAACACCAAGCAGGGGCCGCTTAGGAAGCACAAAGAGAGGTTCCAGGAAAGTTCACAGAGGCGTGGAGGAAGTCCGAGGGTGGAGAGAGAACGGGAAGGTGACATCAGGGCCAGAGAGATAGCACAGCAGGACAGGGCTTGCCTTGCCTGATCCCTGGCACCCCATAGGGTTCCCCGAGCAACACCAGAAGTGATCCCTGAGTGCAGAGCCACGAGTAAGCCTACAGCATCACCAGGAACGTGGGGAGAAGTCGGGTTTGGAGGGTGGTCATGGGTCTCCTTCGGTCAGTTCCGGGTATGTGGTGTCTTCGTCCATTCAGGGGAAAGGGCGGGCTGAATTTCAGAGGAAGGTGCAGGACCAGGAGCTAACCCAGGCACCATCTGTGTGACAGGCCTGGAGCTCTGTGACACAGGACGGGAGACAGGAGAGAGCTGAGGTGACCTTTGACATCTTGTGTCCAGGTAGACAAGAAAGAACCAGCAGGGGAGACTCCAGGGGCCCAAAAGGTGAGAGGAGCCCGGAAACCAGCGTCTTAGGAGCCCAGAAATAGGGTGTCCAGAAGGAGATGATGGCTGGCAAGTGTCCGGCGGGGCTCGGACACTGTTCGATGAGGGCCGGTTTGGAAAGGGCCAGCGGTTATAGCAACGTGAGGTCACTGGTGACCGATGGTGCGATGAGACGGAGAATCCAGACAGAGGGGGATGAGCAGGGAGGGGAGTTGATGGCGGAGGAGCTGGCATGTACTTGAGACACGATTAGAACCTGGGAAACGGCAGATGGACCGGAAGGGCAGCAGCTTCCACCAGGCCAGGGGTCAGCTGTGGAGAAGGTTTTCTTCCTGGTCGGTGTTTCGTTGTTGTTGTTGTTTGTTTTGTTTGGGGGACCATACCTGGTGATGCACTCAGGGATGACTCCCGGCAGTGCTCTGGGGACCAGAGAGGATGCTGGGGATCGAACCCAGGTCAGCCACATGCAAGGCAAACATCCTCCCGGCTGTGCTATTGCTCCGCACCCCCTTTGTGGTTCTGATGCTGGAAAATGCCACGTATTTCAGCACAGAACAGAAGACGTCCCCTCGAGAGGGAGAGACTGAATAGGCAAATGGTGAGAATGGAAGGTCGCTTGGCAAGTGTTCTGGAGACGGTTCGAGAACAGTGTCCAACTTGAGAAGCGGCAGGGGTGCTGCTGTGAAGCCGCCCTCGAGCAGAGCCGGGAAGCTGTAAAGCCTGTCTGTGTTCTCTCCCCAGGAGCCGAGGAGGACATGGAGACCCCAGAGCAGACGACGTCGCGGCCCCTCCCCAAGATGCCCATCCCCAGTGCCACGGCCAGGGTGGAGGGCATCCCGCCCAAGACGCAGAGCAAGGCGCCTGCGCAGACAGAGGTGTGCCTGGCGGGTGGTCCCCGCTCTGTTCCCCTCCAGCCCTGCCCCCAGTCAAGCGGGCTCCCTCCCTCCCCATCCCCCACCCTGAGAGAGAACCTCGTCACAGCTGGCGATGTGTGGACACATCTGGGGGCAGAAGCAATCATACAGCACGGGGCGGGGGGGGGGGGCGCTGACCTTGCATGAGGCCCATCCAGGTTGGATCCCCAGCATCCCATATGGTGCCCTGAGCCCACCCGCAGTGATCCCTGAGCACAGAGCCAGGAGGAACCCGTGAGCACTGCCAGGTGTGGCCCCCGAAATCAAAACAAAGAGGCAAAAGACATCATTTATATCCAGGCTCACAGGTGTTCTGGCACATTCTCTGAGTTCTGACAGGTGGTGGCTAGCATATGCATCCAGCCCTATGAGTACCGAGAGAGGTCTCAGCTCCTGAGGCCCTTCTGGACGGCCCTCTGTCCTCACGAACACTCCCTGGTTTCATTCCATGGCTTTGCCTTTTCTGGAATGTCCTGGGTAGAAATCATCCAGGTGTCACCTTGGCAGACGGACTCTTGTCACTGCAGAGTATGCTTTTGAGACTTCTTTTTTTTTTTTTCTTTTTGGGTCTACCTGGCAGTGCCCAGGGGTTACTCCTGGCTCTGCACTCAGGCATTACTTCTGGTGGCGCTTGGGGGATCCTATGGGATGCCAGGGATCGAACCCGGGTTGGCTGTGTGCAAGGCAAATGCCCTCCCCAGTGTACTGTCGCTCCAGTCCCCTTTTGAGACTTCTTGATATGGCCAGTGGCTTTCTTGACCTCTGGTTGGCACTCAGACCTAATTTCTGTAATATATATATATATATATATATATATATATATATATGGTAAAAGGTAAAGGCCCTCCTGTTGATCGTCGATTTGCTTGAGCGGGCCCAGTAACGTCTCCATTGGAGACTTTGTTGTTACTGTGTCTGGCATATCGAATACATCACGGGGAGCTTGCCAGGCTCTGCCGTGCGGGTGAGATCCTCTCGGTAGCTTGCCGGGCTCTCCGAGAGGGGCGGAGGAATCGAACTCGGGTCGGCCATGTTGGCTGCGTGCAAGGCAAACGCCCTACCGCTGTGCTATCGCTCCAGCCCTACCACGAGGAGTGGATGGAGAGAAGAGCCCAGAAACCTCAACAGGGAACACCCACATACACAGCCTCTCTGATAAAGGATTCAGAGATGAAATGGTGAGGGAGCTCAAAGAGTAGAACCGACGGTCCATAAAATACAGGAAGAAATGAGAGCAGAAATAAGAAAGCTCCGAACAGAAGTGTCACTAATAAAGAATTCGGTGGAAGAAATTAAAAACTCAGTGGCCTCAACAGTAGAATGACAACAGCCTAACACAGCCTGTCAGTGAGGCTTGGGCACATGCTTCAGGGGTGCTCTGGGGGCTGTCAGAGCTGGAATGCTGCTTAAAGCCACAGGCTGCTGCCCCTTTTCGTGAAAAATAAAATGCTACTTGAGGGCTGGAGCGATAGCACAAGTGGAAAGGGTGTTTGCCTAGCACGCAGCTGACCCGGGTTCGATTCCCAGCATCCCATATGGTCCCCTGAGCACTGCCAGGGGTAATTCCTGAGTGCAGAGCCAGGAATAACCCCTGCGCATTGCCGGATGTGACCCAAAAAGCAAAAATAATAATAAAATATAATGCTGTCAAGCTGAGGCCTTATAGGATGATGGGAAAGTCTGTTGCAGTGGCAAGAGGCAGAAACACCCGTGTCTCCCATCCCTCCCTGCCCTCTGCCATCTGCCCTGTCCCCCCCGCCCCCCACATGTTAGTAGTGATGAAAGTGATTGCAGCGGGCATGGGGAGGCAGCCCTTTTGCCCTCTTCAAGTTGGAGGGTCTTTACAGGAGTCAAGGGACCAGTTTCTGTTGGATGGATGGGGATGCCCCTGGCCAGGAAGTGGGGATGGACGAAACTCTTGAGGCTTGGAGACAAGCAGATAGAACGCACACAGGCTCCTGGCATGGCGTTGGCCCTGGAAGGGCCGGAACGGGAATGCAAGGCTCAGGTGTTGGTGGTGGGAGATGCAGGACAGAGCGCTCGGCCCACTTACGCACTGTGACGGTTGCAAGAGGTGCTGGGCCTCTGGGATACTGCAGTGCTTGGCCACTTTTCCCAAGGGACCCTTCTGGAGCCAGCCACCACTGTAGACCTCACACCACTGTAGACCTCACAGTGATTTCCCCCTGGTTCCCCAGAGTTTCTCTTGGGAGAACGCAGAGTCTGGGCCCAGATCTTTCCTCTTTCCAGAACACCTTTTTCTGATCTCTTTCTGTCCCCCCCCTTCTGTCCCCTCCAGTCCCCCGAGAAAGTGAACAAGGAGATCGCTCCCCCTTCAGAGTCAGAGAGAAAGACGGACACAGCTGAGGAGGACACGAATGTGTACACGGAGAAGCACTCGGACAATCTGTTCAAACGGACAGAAGTGCTGGCAGGTGAGAGGCGGCAGTGGTCAGGTGGGGTGTCTGGGCTTCCACAGGGAGACGTGTCACTTCTCCTCCTTCTCACCTGAGAGGCGAGATGCTGAGACAAATGTCTGCCATTTCCACCAGCACTTCGTGACTGGCCAACCAGGGCTGGGAAGGAGCTGGTAAAAAGAGTTAAAAACCATCAGCAAAAAGATGTTGGGGCAGGGCTGGGGAGAGAGAGAGAGAGAGAGAGACAGAGAGAGAGAGAGACAGAGACAGAGAGAGACAGAGACAGAGAGACAGAGATGGAGACAGAGAGACAGAGACAGACTGAGACTCTGTCTGCTTTGCTCAGTCCTGATTTCAAAATAAACTTCAGATCTTGGGGGAAAGGGGTTGACTCGGAAATGCCCTTGGCCCTGAAGTTGTGGGCTCTGAGTGTCTAGCTTGTCGATGAAAGTATTAACATTGGATTTGAAAAGGAGGAAGATTTTCCAGGTTAAAGGGGACCAGAGCAACAGGGCAGTGAGGAGGGCCTTAGCACACAACTGGCCTAGGTTCGACCCCCAGTACCCTGTAGATTCCCCAGAACCCTGAGCTCAGAGACAGGAATAATGCCTGAGCAATGCTGGGTGTGTGACCCAAAAAAGCCTAAAATAAATAAATAAATGAATGTAGCCTGCCCACACGGCAGAGTCTGGCAAACTCCCCGTGGCGTCCCCAATATGCCAAATACCAGTAACAATGATGGGTCTCATTCTCCTAAAGAGCCTTGGATATAATCTCAGGGCTAGGATGAAGGAGACGTTACTGGGGTCTGCTCGAGGCAATCGACGAATAACAGGATGATTTGTGATTGTGATTGTGAAATAAATAAATGAATAAATAAAAGAAAGTTGGCAGGCTCTTCGTATTTATGCTTGTGACGTTTCAGTCAGTGGTCTCATCTGTTTTGAGTTGTCATCGAGAAGGTGCTGAGAAGATTAGACCAAGAATGATAAGCACTAGAAAGATGGTCAAGAGGTCTTTCAAAGCATGGAATTAGTTGCGGTCGCAGATTTTTCTTAGTGAGGATTTGGTGGATATTTTACCGCTGGTCAAAGAAAGCATTGTGCCTTCTTGAATTTGCAAAATTGCCTGGTGCTTCATTGAATCCAGTTCTCAAAATTATCAAGTGCTTTTTTTTTTAAAAAAAAAAAAAAACAAAACCAAAAACCTCCCAGCCTTGGTGAAAATTTTGGTTTTCACCAAAAGGCAAAATGAGGAGGGTACGGGGCGGCGGGAGGGTACTCCCTCGGAGCGGATGGTTCAGGCACTTTGGTGCTGGGCGTGTTGTTATTCACAGAAAAGAAAGATGCTCAATCCCTGAACTTCCTTAATATTGTAAACCAAAGCTAACCCAGTCACCAGTATTAATTCTGGTGGGCAAATGAGGCGGGTCTTGTACAGTAAGCCTTTTCTAAGAGTCTAACTAGACTGGGTTTGGCAGAGCTAATTTCTGCAGTTCCTCGACTCTCTTCTAAACATGATGTCCCTTCTGGTGTGTTCACAGCTGTCATCGCGGGCGGGGTGATTGGCTTTCTCTTTGCGATTTTCCTCATCCTGCTGTTGGTCTACCGCATGCGAAAGAAGGATGAAGGCAGTTACGACCTTGGCGAACGCAAACCATCCAGCACTGCTTATCAGAAGGCCCCCACGAAGGAGTTTTATGCGTGAGACTCCCACTTCGTGTCTCTATTTCTGAGATCACTGAACTTTTAAGAAATAAAGCTTTTGCATAGAATAACGAAGATCTTTGGGTTTTTTTGTTGTTGTTGTTGTTTTCGTTGTCATTAACACGCCACTTGGGCGCTTTAATGAGAAGATCCCGATGTATTTAAGACTTTCCATGTATTTCTTTAGAACAACATAAGATTTCAAGGTAACATCTGCAGTGTTCTGTGAATAGCAGTGGCAAAATATTATGTTAAGACTCGATGCTCATGGAATTGGTTGATGCTTTTACTGTGCAAGTGTAGAAACCATTTGTCTTTGCTGGCTAGAGCTGGAAGTTTTGTCTATGACTGACTTGACCGATTGGTCTGACTCTGTTCATTTTCCCATTGTTCCTCTCTTCTCTGCTAATTCCCACCCTCCTCCCCCTGCTTAAAAACAAAACTCTATACCTTCCATAGTTGTTATGGTGCAATTTTGTCTTTGGAGCATTCAGAGAATGGTAATTTCGTGTACATGTGATTTTCCAAGATGTAAACTCTAACCTCCACTTTGTATAAACGTCTCTGTTTTAGACTATCCATTTTACACTCGCTTTTCTTTGCCATTACGTGTGGCTTCAGGCAGGTTTGCAACAGCAAATTGATGTGTAAAATTGGATTATGCCTACAAAACTGTTCAGTCATATCTATCTGGTCAGATCCTGTTCCAGGAGGATGGGATGGAGTCCCTGACGAGAGCCTCAGCAAACCCAAAGATGCTCACAGTATTTTGAGAAGTTGCTGCAAATGCCTTGGGCCACTGTATTTGTTCATTTCTTGCAGTTTGACAGGGGTTGGAGGGTGGGGGAGAGTCAGCTTTTGCTTTTTAAAAAAATGCATTTAAGTTGTAAACGTCCTTTTAAGCCTTTGAAGTGCCTATGATTCCTATGTGATTCGTCGCAGACTGGTGTTAATGAGTATATATAAGGGTTTCAAAGAAGTTGGTATTTTATAAGCACAGACAATTCTAATAGTAACTTTTGTAGTCCTGCGAATAGACATGACTTGTAATTTGGGATTATACAAACTACTGAATAAATCATGTGGCCTCCTATCGAAAATGTCACTGTTCTAGATTTTGTGTATTTTCGACCAGCTGTCCCTTTCCCAAGGACCGCCCGCTGGGGTTGGATCTCTGAGCATTCGCTCAGTGCTCCTAGATGAACACCAAAGACAGTCCTGCTGATGAGCAGATTCGCTTCTGAACTAGCCAGAGGAAATGTGAATGTATTGTTCTGTGTGTGAGTGGAGGGATGGGCAGACTGCCAAGAGACCGGGACATTCGCAAGCTTGCCAGGCTGGCGGGTGTCAGTATGGAGAGGGATGCTTGCTGTGGCAAAGAACTTTTAGTTCTATCAATCCCAAAGCGCAGAGGGGTCCTGTCCTGGCGTGGGTATCTAAGGGTTAGTCCTAGAGACCGTTGGACCTTGGAACGCTTGCTCCCGATCACCCCTTGAAGCTTAACCGCAGACCTAGCTAATCACTCGAAGACCCTTGTCTGCATGCCAAGGGGGGCATGGGCCAAACTGACTGGCTCCCTGCCTGAGATTGAACTTGCTAGAAAGGATGGAAGAATGAAGGTCCTTCGATCCTTCCTTCTAGCCGAACATTTCCTTTTTCTATTTGGCCATCCATTTTATTTCCAACCATGAGCCGCCTGACTTAAATAGGAAGAAGATAGCCAAAAAAAAAAATGATCAATCTTCTCCATGGATGCTTTCTTTAGAGTCTTCCCTGGAATGGCCATAGAACCCAATCAAAACAAAACTTTTTAGCAACTCTTGGATCTGTGTTTACTTAAATTCTTAATGGCCTTAATTCCTGGCCCATCACTTACAGAATCAATCTGCTTTGAGGGACTGAAAAAGAAAGAATAGCAGTTCCCAGCACCCCCTGCTTCTACAGCTATCGAGGCTAAGAATACAGTGGGGGTTGGGGACTGGGGGTTCCAACGGCAAAGCAGACTCAGTTCAGTGTGGAGAGTAACAACTGCTGGGGAAATTGGTGCCAGGAAAAGAACATTTCTGGCAAATATTTTGTCACTGCTGTAAAGCAAAATATTTGTTGAAGTGCCAAAATAAAGTCTGTCGTGCTGAAAGTAAAACATCATTGTATAGACTGGCATTGAGTTTTCTTCGACGGTATGTTTTCTGCTTAGTTTTGAAATTCCTTTCCTTTGAAGATGCAGTAAACAGTGCTTCTTTTTTTAAAAAAAAAAAGTGTTCAGGACAGTCTTGAGTAAAATGTAAATATTAAAATATTAAAGCCGATGTGAAAAGTTCCTGTTTCCTTAACCACCTGTAAATGATTTTCCATGTGTGAACCTGGCTTTATGTCGAGAAATTTGCACTCTTTGGAGGGGCAGCCTGTGAGGGGAATGGACTGGGGGTGGGGGGGTTGTCTAGTGTTTTTTTTTTTGTAAGTTTTGGCTGCAGAGCAGTAAGTGGTACCTGAGCTGCAGAATTAAGACCAGGTTCACTGAGTTGAGTTTAAGTTGGGTTTTGGTTGACAACATTACAGAAATTGCTTTCTATATGTGGTGTCAGCTAAAATAAATCCTTTCTGCACTTTGGGGAAAAGAAACAGCTTGAATTATTGCAGAGTTTCCGGGGCTGCCCTTAGGAAGAAGTTAGGCAGTGTGAAACCTCCTCACCTTTGAGCACAGACCTTTAGGTTTATAAACCTTTCTGAAAGTGGTGTGGGAGAGAAATTCACCTGGAAGGTAAGTTAAGAAGAAACAAAGCACTTATTTGGGGGTATATTCCTTGAATTCCAACACCCTGGCTCATCAAAGCCTGTCTGGACATTTTGAGAAACTGAGATAGGAATATTCTAGTTGTGAGCAAAAGGGCAGACTGCCAGGGAAAAGTTTTAACTTGCATAAAGTGCATTTGAAGGAGGTTCAGGGGCTAAAGGAGTATCTCTACCCAGTAGAGGAGAGAATGGGGAGCCCCTCAACCCAGCCTTTGCTACAGAAATGAAAGAATCTTCTTCCTTTTGAGACTGGAAAGCCTTTGGGAGAATTCATCTCCACCCCACAATAATAAGAGTCGATAGATAGCTTCAGGCCAGTTATTGAGTGAGCTGTGGGTGCTGTGATTCTTTGCAGATTAGACCAGATGTACTTGCTTATTGTTAATATCGGTGTAGGATAGTGCCTTCCAACCACAGTATAAAAAGGTGGAGGAACAGTGATAAGGGAGACTAATTAGGCTAAGAAATCTGAATAGGTGAACCAGACTCAGGTCACCTCAGAGAACCAAAAATGCTTGACCAATGGCCCCTCCAAATACCAGCACAAAATGATTTGACTTTTAGAGTTCAGACTTTCCGAGGTTGTCCCAGCTCTAAGTTGTTGTCCTGGTGCTTCTCAGCTGTCATGCTGGTGAGTGTGACTTGCATTGTGCAAATGTGTTGAAATAAATGGAAAGTCATCCCCTGGGTAACCTCGTCCTTCATCCCACATTCTCCTAACTCTGACCATTTCACGAGTCTCAGTCTTCATTGTTCTCATCTCTTGGAGTACTTACCCTCTATCACACAAACTCTTTTGGTGAAAACATCTGTAGTTCATGCACGCACCAGGTGTCATTTCAAAGAAGTGGAGTTTTCCCCATCAGAGAACATTCTTCTACCAGGAATGTCACTGACATTTTGTGTAACTTTATAACGCATTCATATATCAATATTTATACATACCAATTCCATTTCAAAACCTTGAGAAAAAAATTTAAGCAGAGGAATGATCACCCCCCCGCAAATATTGTAGAGTTAACTTTTTCATCAAAATTACCTTTAAAGCTTTATTATGATTATATAATGGTGAGCAGATACATTGTAAAAAAATGGTTTTAAAGAGCAGTTTTAGGCAATAAAATCTCCACCTGGCATTTCTAAATTCTAAGCTTCTGGTGGTCATTTGTGAAACTCAGGAGAGGTTACCAGCTAACAAAGGCTGGATGAAAAAGAAAAGGAAAAAAATCGAAGGAACCAGAGAGATAGTACAGAGGGTAAGTCTTGTACACACCTAACCTGGCTTATATCCCAAGTACCCCATATAGTTCCCTGACCCCAACCAGGAGTGGTCCCTGAGCACAGAGACAGGAATGAGTCCCGAGTATCACCAGAAGTGACCCAAATGCCAAAAAAAAGAAAGAAAAAGAAAAAGGAAAGGACGGTACAAGTGTGGCAGGCCTTGGTGCTAATGTTTTTCTGACTGAAATGAAAACTCCGATTTGGCCACTTCTGGCCATCCCATTCAAGTCTCTTAGAAAACTTTCTTTCCCCCAAAGATGAGACAACAGTCTCCACATTCAGTGGTGAACGTCTCAGTAAATTTTGCTCACCCAGTGCCCCCCATTCGCAGTGACACCATTCCTCCCTGAAGGTGCTAAGAGTTCAGTCCTTCCCTTTTTTTCTGACCAAGGAATCACAGTGACTTGGAACACCTGAGCTGCTGGGGCATTTGCTGGACGTCATCGGAACAGAGTCTCATGAGAGATAGCGAGAACTGGCGCCGTGCGGGCTGCAGGCGTCTATAAAACTCAGGCCTTCAGGCTGCTCCACCCCAGCCCAGGGCAGCCGACACCCAGCGAGCTGGCACAGTCTGCTCCCACCCCCTTCTCAGGCTGGGGTCTTGTGGGGAAGTGCAGGGTATAGGGCCAGATGTTCGTGAGGTGGGGGAGGAGGAGAAGACAGGCACAAAACGGGAAACAGCCACAAGTGGCCAGGATCAGCTGGTTAGTCACCTGGGGGATGGCCATGAGCCCCGGCTGGGGGTCGGAGCTAGAGCGTCACCCCAACCAGACACATGCCATGGCAAAGGGCAGCCGCCTGCCCCCTGGCCGTGCTGCGGGTCTGTGGGGACTGGCAGGAGGCAATGTCCTGACTCAGTGGCCTGCTCCTGTGGGTCGTGAGGACATGATCTTTGTGCGGGGCCAGCCCTTTCCAGCGGGCGTCCATCCTAGCTGCTTCGCGAGCTCCAGCTGCCTCCTGGACCAAAGCCAGCCCGCGCTTCCTGCTCCCTGGGATTAGCTGCGACCCCACGACTTGCACTGGATGATGAACTGTGCAAGGGACAGGTGTCCTCCCCACCCTGCAGATCAGGAACTGGGCTCCCTGCTGGCTTCCCTAAGCCCCCTCCCCGCTTCTCCCCAGGAAGTGCTTTCCTCCTCCTCTCTCTCTCACCTCGACCCCCCTGGATCCAATCTCCCCTCCCCTGGCCACGGTGGATTCCGGCTTCCCTCCTAGTGGCAGTGATGCACGAGTGAACAGCAGGTGGACGGTCAGATGAGCCAATGAGCGTGCAGAGAGGTAAGTAGCTGGAGGGAGCGGAGGGCCGGAGAGCAGGGCTCCGGAGCCCACCCTGACCTTCTAGGTGATTGCTTCTGCAGTGTGGGCATTTGGGACTTTCCCCAGGGTCCACGCAGAGGAGGTGTATGGTCTTTCCTGGTCAACGGGAAGAGACGCTGCAGCCTAGCGCGCACACGGAACGGAACGGAGAAGCATTGGCGCCGTGTCCAAAATTGGAAGAAGTCATTTGGCAGGGAGCAGATCTGACTATTCAGGAAATATCTCTACTATCTGAGTTTCCTGGCAGGAAATAATTGGCCAAACAAAGCAGTGTCTCTCCCGAGTGGGGCTTCATTTGGGGGTCATGAAGCTGGATTTCCACTTCCTTCATGACACTCTGCCGGGGCCAGTGGCAGTGGGAGCTGGCATCTTCCTGGCAGCCCCTGCTCCAGAGCTCATGAAAGAATGCCTCTCCCACAAGCTCAGAAACGCCAACCTGGCCTTTCTTGTTAGCGTTTTGTTCCTTTCCCCGCACAGAGCTCGTTTTTTTTTTTCCCTGTGTGGGTCACAGCTGCATGGGTGGGTGGGAATTCAGGGAGGGACACATGGAATCCAAACAGCATGGCTTCTGCCAACAAGTCATCCCTGGTTCTCACTAGGCAGCAGCCCGGGCCCAGGCCCTGGGACTCCAGAATCAGCTAGACCAAGGTCCCGTGGCCAAGGAACTTCCATCCCAGCAGGAAGAGACGGGCCAGGCTGTGTAATGCATCTCCATGAAGATGCCTCGAGTGGCCCAAGTGATAGCACAGTGAGGAGGTCATTTGCCTGGCATGCGGTCCACCCTGATTCAATCTCCGGTGTCCCACAGGGTCCCCTAAGCCTGCCAGAAACGATCCCTGAACACAGAGGCAGGAGTAAGCCCTGAGCACTGCATAGTGTGGCCCCCCCAAACAAGCAAACAAAAGAGGTTCCGCGAGGGAGTGAAGATGGAACCACATTGGGGTGGAGGATTTCAGGCAGCCAGCACTGAAGCCACGCAGAGTGTGACTTGGGGATCGGAGACTCTGGGGACGGATCAAGGACAGGCGACCCCCCCCCCCCCCCCCCCGCCAACCACCACCACCACCAGCTGCCAAGGGACGTTCTCCCGCCTTCGCACAGTGCTTTTTTTTAAATTTTATTTTCATAAAGTCGTTTAACATAATTGATTACATTCAATATTTCAACATTCATCCCACCACCACTATTCTGATTTTTTTTTTCCCTTTTGAATCATACCCGATGATGCTCACGGGTTTCTCCTGGCTTTGCACTCAGGAATTACTCCTGGCGGTGCTTGGGGGACCCTATGGGATTCCAGGAATTGAACCTGGGTCAGCTATGTGCAAGGCAAATGCCCTCCCCGCTGTACTATCGCTATGGCCCTATTTTGAATTTTTCACCTCAGCATCCGAGTCCCTGGGAGCACGTGGGAAATCAGACACAGGTTCCTGGGATTGCCTCCAGCATGTCGGATTTCTGTCAGCGGGGAGCAGCCCCGGACAGTTCCAGCCCAAACGTGGCTCTGGTACAAATCCTACCCCCTCCCCTCTCCATTGTGTGGGATCCGAGTGACCACCCTACTCCCCCCCCCCCGAGAGCCCCACTGCCCTCTCTCTCTCCCTACGCCCAGACCTGGCCCTTCATTCTAGGTAGGAGCCTGCCTTGAGAGCGTTGGCACCATTATGCTGCCCTCCACCCCCCACCCGTAGAGCCTGACTGTGGCAGGGAAGATGATGCTGTTTTTCTTTCCCAGTATGTGGGGATCTTCCA